TATGAAGTTGTAAATATTTTTGTGTTTTCTTTCTTTTTTTTATTTCTTGAAAAAATTCTAATCTATACCGTATTTTATTAACGGTAAAAAGGGTGGAATACTGTTGTTGACATGCAGCATCCATTAAGTCTTAATATAGTGATTAATGTTGAACAAATAGTGTAAAGAATTCAATAGCGTTTTATATCTTGGAGTGATACTGGTATTTTTCCTTAACCATGTGGAAGTAAAAATAAGAGAGCTACCGTGTTTTCCTGCAAATCAAAGCTATCTGAGGAAGCAATTTATGTGTTAGGTTTCTCCAAAAAAATAAAAATACCACCTTATGCGTCTCTTCTCTCAAACGTGTTTGTCTTTATTCAATAGGAGCAATACTACAATACACTAAAGGATCCACCTAAAAACAACTAGGACATTATAGTCGTTTCGAATGAGATTTGTACAAAGGACCACCACAGTGTACTGGAACGCGTACTTCACGATGTCACCCAGAGAATGACAGCTTTTTCTATTCCAAGAACTCAGCTTCAAGGTGCGAAACTAAGACGCGAGCATTGGATTTACGTGAGATTTTTTAATTCTGTGAAGCGTCTGGGCTGCTTGTGAAGAAGGGGGAATCTCACAGAAGAGGCGCCTAAAGGATGAAAAGATCGCGATGCGTTTAGTTGGACCGGTACACACTTTGAACCCTTTTCAAGTTTCTCAATCGTGCAACTAGACCTTCTTTCATGCTCTTGGGCTGAATTCGCATCGCCCTTTTTTAGCCTCCGCGGTTCGCCTCTTTTTTTTATCTTTTCGTGAGTATGTCACTTCAGGATCTCTTTGAGGTGCTGCGGCACGTGTCACCAAGTAGGAGGAACTTACTGACAAACATTATATACAGCTGAGAAGCGATAAGATAAAAATCAAAATGCGTGACGATGCACAGACTATTTTTAGAACTTGTACTCTATCTTCTATTCTTATTTCCTTTTTCTTTTCTTTTCCATTTAAATTTATATAGATACCGCGATAACTCACTTTGTGTTCACTTTATTTAGAAACAAATAATTGCTTCTAAAGGCCTGACTAAAAAAGTTGACTAAAACAATGGCATCATTAAAACCCTCTCTACAAAGGCTATGGGGAAGTGATATTTCTAGGGCTCGTCCCAGGCGGTCGCTTGCCGTTTGGTACGTCGGCATGTTTTTTACACTCCTTTGTCTATTTTACGTTGGTAACTCGATTCAAATCTCCTCTGAACCCTTTCCACTTTCCAATGATGAAATGCCGGATATCTTTGTTCGAGCCACTGGGCCTCGTGTCGTCATCTTCATTATGAGTAATAGAATTGATGATACCCTTTGCTACTCAGTGGGCTCAGCCTACCTAAGCGGGCTTCCCGTGGTGGTAGCTGGTTATCAAATGGAATACAAAGGGTTTCTATCCAAGCACGACTTCATGGAAAAGGCCATCAAGAATGCGCAGCTGAAACCGGACGATGTCGCCATTTTAATGGATTCCGACACGCTTTTTACGGGAGCTGACATTCAAGCCTTTCTTGATTCCTTCATCGCCCAGTCCGCCGCGGCGCCAGAGGAGCTGGACGCACTGAGTGTGCGGCAGGGCCGTGTGATGGCACCGATCGTAGCGCTTGCGGAGGATTGTTGTTGGGCACCGAATCTATACTTCAGCCATATGTGTTGTAGAGTTGGGTATGAAGCGGTTTATAAAAAGGTTCGTGCGCATGCGGCCGCACACCCGGAGCATAAGCTCGCCTTGCCTTTTGACCAATCCCCATATCGCCATCCCAACATGGGTATCGTAATTGCTCGTGCATGGGCGTACATGGAATACCTAGAGAAGGTTGAAAACTTAATAAAAACCCATAAACCAACAGCCAGAATCCAGAAAGGATGGTATTGTGATCAGTCAATTTTTTCACGCTTTCATATGGATCTCTTGACGTGGGAAGTTGAGCAGGATGTTTTATCGATGCCATTACATGAGCGGCAGGCGGCGCGGTCCACTTACGGTATGCGCGCCGGTTTCCTCGGGTTAGACTATGCCAATGCGCTTTCGGTGGTTATTGCGCACAAATACTTACACCGAACCGAAATTCACGATGAGCTCTGGGCGAAGTACCTGCCGTCAGGCAAGATTAAACACCCGCACTCACACGAGATGAATGGAGTTAAGAGTGTCGGTCGCTTTGTAGCGGACCTTTATAAGCGAGCATATGCCGCACACGGTAAGGAGATTTACACGAGGCTTGCCGTACCCAAGTGGGTAGACGAGAAAAAGACCTCTGAGACGACCTTCATCAGCCTCACACCACCGCTTTTTGCGTCCAAGCTGAGGCCCATCGATACTGTCCACAACACGATGCGTCATACGTTCCCGGTAATTTTGCATGCGTCCGATCTTGAGTATGGTTATACCAAGGTCAAAAAACTTGAGTATGCCTCCGTAGGTGCACCGTGGTTCATGCCGATGGTTTATGATGCAGAGGTATTGCAACAGAACGAAAAGTACCTGGAATCTCTACCATTGCTTCTATCTACCGATAAGGACATACTTAAAACTTCTTACCAGGCCCATTGTGGCTTTCCATTTAAAAAAATCATAAATAAGGTCCAAAATATATGAATTAATTCAATTTTCTACCTCATGTGTACTAAATATTTCCTTTTGATACATAATCCAGCCCCATTAAATTTACTTTTAGGTGTTGTCTACCCATTGCTTTTGTAATACGAAATGTTTTTTTACTGAGATTTTTTGAAGAAAATATTCACAACGGATAAAGATTATTTATATCACTTTTACACTTTATATACCTTAATAAATAACACCATACAGGTGTTGATCTGTTATTTGATTTTCTTTTTTTTTTCGTTACTATTACTTCATCACCCTGTATATAGTGTCTTTAACGGGTGTGTGAGGACTTTTTTTTAAATCAGAGCAGTAATTATAGTTAAGTCCAAATTTTGAATATCATAAGAATCCAGAATGAAAGCTAACTAGAACTTAATATGGAAAAATTGTCTCTATGCTTTATTTATGTTTAACAATAAGTTTTTAAATCTTATTTTGGAAGCTGGAAGGAAATACAATAGATCTTTTTTAAAAAATTATGATGGTAGTTTTCAGAAAGTATTAGTCTATACAGGTATGTGGTCAGTATATTTTTGATTAAACCCCATAAAATTGGACCATTG